TTCCCCATACCCAAAATAAAAGTTGACCCGCTCACATTATAAACCCTACCAATCAATAGCCTTGTTGCTTTAACTGCCTCTTCTTGCAAAGCAAATCATTTAACTAGAGTCCAGACATGGGAGAAATTGATCCTGCTTTCATACAAGACCCTGATCACAGGCCTAAACTCTTCATCATCGAAGCCGAAGGCATACCCTTGATTGACCTGTCTCCAATAAACTCCCCAGACTCCATTACTGATCCCAAAGCCATTGAAGGTGTTGTTAGAGAAATAGGCAGTGCATGCAAGGGCTGGGGGTTCTTCCAAGTGATCAATCATGGGGTTCAATTAGATAAGCTCCGAAATATTGAGACTGCTGCTAGGAAGTTCTTCGCTCTGCCCTTGGATGAGAAGAGGAAGATTAGAAGGGATGAAAAAAGCATATTGGGTTACTATGACTGTGAGCGTACCAAGAATGTCAGAGACTGGAAGGAGGTGTTTGATTTAACAGTGGAGGAGCCTACGTTAGTCCCGGCATCGCCTGACCCCGAGGACAAGGAAGAGACAGAGTGGCATAACCGATGGCCGGAGTATCCTCCAGAATGCAGGTAACTGAATGATCACTAATATGTAAAAGAAATCTAGATCACCTCACCTGTGATCGAAGGGTCAGTTAAACTTTACATCCTGTGAGTTATAATGTGAATCAATCAAAAAACACTAGCTCTCACTTGGTAACTTAAATGATTGTGCTGCAACTGTAAGGACCTCATTGAAGGAAGGTTCCATCCCAAAATCAATTGGCAATGAGGTGAGTAGCTCAACTCCTTATAAGCCCTTGTTAGGTTTCTCAACTTTCAAATATGGACTTTTTACCTTCACACTCTCACACACCCCCGCACGTGTGGTGAATTTTCAAGCCTAGCACGTTGTGGAAGCGATTTTCATCCCACGAGAATATTCTTCTTCGTCTTCCTCTCGCTTCTCTTTCTCCCTGCAAAACAAATCCGAATAAGAGGACCACACCCGGGGGTATTGGCCAAAGGCCCTCCGATGCCTAAGTTAGTTCGAGTGTTTGTAGGAAAACAATAGCTAACAAAAGGGTACGGAAATGTATGTATGATGTGAACCGGGTGGCTGGAGCCGTGTGTGGTGGCCAGAGCCTTGTGTGTGTGTGAGAGAGAGAGAAAGAGTGGCGGCTAGGGTTTGTGAGATGAAATTTCTGTAAAATAATTCCACATATGGAAATGAATTATTCTTCCCCAATTTGGAGAGATTGACATAATTAGGGATTTGATTTAAATCAAATCCCTAATTAGGGTAAGCATCGAATAATTGCCAATCGAATCAAATAACTCCCAATTAGGCCAAATAATCCCCAAATGGAAGGAAATATTTGACCTAGGGTTTTGCTAAAATTCAGTTCCCACACACGTAGACAACACATATTAGGTGACTTGAAACACGTGCGGCCGTTAGGCTTTCATACGTGGGCTAACCCGCTCTGATACAATGAAGGAAGTTGAGGTTCCACCCCAAAATCAATTGGCAAGGGGGGGAGTAGCCGAACTCCTTATAAGCCCTTGCTGGGTTTCTCATCTTTCCAATGTGGACTTTTTACCTGCACATTCTCACACTCATGCATGATGAGCTGAACTTGTATTTGGAACTTGATTTATATGATATAATAGACTGCCCTGACCAGGGAGGCCTGTGAAGAATATGCGCAAGAAATTGAAAAGCTAGCTCTGAA